TACTATAATACACTTATAGAAATATGTGTTACGTGATTTTATTTTTAACGTCATTTAAAACGAATGCATCTTGATTATAGACTCTGATTAAGTTGTCTTTGTTTAGGTTTTTTTTGTACCTAACAAGTTTACGGAGGTTGACATTATGTTTTTTTCGTCAGGCGTCATGGCGTGATAAAGAACGAAAAAATATATACAATTATTATAATTTATAATAATAATAATAATAATAAATAAACACATTAATAAGCGTTCAAAAAACGAGACCCGGTTACGAAATATCGTCGAAGACTATATGACACGGGGGTTTGAAACCAGTGGCGTTTAAATTCTCTCTTTTTTATGTTTGTTTACCTCGATTTTTGCATTTTTTTTTCACCCACCGACCACCGTGCACAGTGTCAATTTGTCTTTTCACCGCACGTCCATGACATTCACGCACACACACACACACACATACGCACGCACACACACATACACACACATACACACACACATACACACACACACACACACACACAAACAAACGGACGGCTCGTTGTCCACCGGCATCCGTCGCGGCCGCAAGACGTAAGCCACGCCCACACGACGTTTGCGCACCGCGTTTGTCGCCTGTAATTGGTTTAGCCGTCGGTTGGGCGACACGCACGGCCCGCGGCGGTTTCTTCCAAGGCAGTGCGGAGAGGGGTGTGGAAGGGGAATCGCCCGAGGACCGCCACGGCCGCGCGGCAGGACTGTTAGTCGCGTGCCGCCGGTGGGACACTGTAGTTGACGATACACGCYGTCCCGTGGCCGACCGCCAGCCGCCGAAGYAGACGACGACAATCGTCACTTATTTGCGCGAGTTCATGACACGCGCACGTTGTTTACCGTCTGCAGCAAACGTTACGGTTATCAAAAAAAATTTTGTCCCGCGGACTGTGATGAGACGATGAATTTTAGCAAGCCACGTGGACGCCGCGCGCCGCCGATGTGGTGTAAAGCGTTCGTGACTGTCGGATTGCTCTGCGAGTTGGCACTGTCGGCCTCGCCACCAGGTCAGTGCCCGCGATTTTCTCGTCAGCTCTTATGACAATACCTWATTATGTTTACACCCCGAATTTTGAATTATTATTATTATTAAGGTACCTAGGCCAATATCCAAATACAGTGACAGCACACGTGACTTAGTGACTTGTATCTTTATTTCACATGATATAGGTACGAAATATCATATAGGTACATAAAATTATATCGCGTATCTATATTTTAATACTCAGTACTATGTATTATTATTATTAGAATAGGCGCTTATGTTTTTAACAGGCAAGGTTACTTGAGTCTTGAATTGCTAAAAATTGAGAAATAGCATCTATATATAGTTAAATTAATAAATAATAACATAGTCCACGGAATAAAATAATCACATCTATATAATATTTACGATTCCGAGGTAAACAATATATAAGAATAGGTACCGATATATACCTACTTACAATTATTATAGATTAATACAATACATGTTAAATTATGTATCATTGAATATATGTAGGTAATTTAATATTTTTTGATATCCTACTTATGCATTGTAATTTACAATAAAAAATGTATACCCACACTTTGCCTATTATTATAATAAATTTGTTTTTTTTATTTTGCCATAATAGGCTGTGTTTTTAAAAAAATGATGTAAAAAAAAATCTATTTAAAAAAAAAAAATCGTTCTATTTAATATATTAAGATTATAAGGTGTCTTTAACTTTTTTCTTCAATTTATTTAAAATAAAAAATAAAGCTAATGTATGCGACATAACACATAAAACATATTTTATTGTAATCGACGATAATTATCAGAGTGTACCATCATATCAATATTATAACATACCGTGTTGATAACAATYAAATTTTCAATCAATTTATTTAATGAATTTAATACAGAATATGTTATTTGAAGTTTTTTAACATTCGTTAAAAAATTACTCTTAATTTATAATTGAATATTATATTAATTTTTAATCCTAAACTATAGGAAATACTTAAAAAAAAAATTAAATCTAAGCAAGAAAATGTGACAATATTGAGTAGTTAAATAATAAAGGTAGTAATAACTATCTGACAATATTTAAAACGTTTATACACTTTGTTAAGATATGCAGCCTATACCTATACCTATACGAAAAACGCTGTAACTTAATTTGACTAGAATCGTAATTTCGTTTAAGCGTATTATTATATTATGGTTAAAAGTGTGTTATGAAATTTGGAGTACCCATTTAATATTTATGTTCAACTATTAAATTAATTATTTATAAAATCATATAAGTATTAAGTTAAAAAACCGTTAATATTTAGAGTTCATAAGTATAATTGTTTTTGTTTTCATTAAGAAAAATTCCTTCAATATTTGACCATTGTATGCAGTGAGTTATTAATAATAATATTAATTATCTTGTTAAGCAAATTCTAKTTAAATTATAAATAATTATAGCTAAAAATGTGATTTAAGYCTTTTAAAACTATACAAGTCTTAAGGAAATGCAACTGTTTAAATAATTAAATATAGGATTTTATTATTATATGTATAACATCTGTAATATACATAATATGACTGTATTTAAATTTATTTAATTAATCAATTATAATTATAAAATATCTGAACAATTTTTATTTATATAATGATAATTGGTATGTTATTATTTGGTGAGAAAATAGTATGCGATGTCTTGAATAATGCGCTAATATTTTTTAAGCTAATTTTAGACAAGTGTTCTATTCATTATTTATACTTTTAAATATTCAGTGTATATTAAATATTCATTAAGTAATTTCCATTTACCCATTTTTATTTCTGAAAAATTCATACTAAAAAGGGTTGTAATTATTATGTTGTAGGTATCTAACCATACTAACCATACGTTGTCGAKAGTTTTGATATAGCTCTAAGACTACCCTAAATATGACAACAAAATATTAATAATAAGTTTTTATTTTATGATTTTATTWTCATGATTTATACGCACATCTATTTACATTCATTGTTATTATTTATATGTTAATATATATTTTGTTACTTTTGTCTAAAGTATCTTAAGATTCAATTTAATGTTTCATTTTAAATTTTGTATTAGTGTTTGCTTGCATGATTATTTATGCATAATAATAAATAATCAAGTTACAAATACTAAGTTTAACCCGGCAGTAATATGATTGAAATTCTTGGGCAGGACATTCATTGTTAATCGAGAGGCATATTGGTGAAAGGTAAACCTAAAAGATAAAAACTTAGTAAAAGTTTTAAAATATTCTTGACTCTAATATATATTCCAATATATATTATGATGTCAAATTTATTTTCATGTTTTCAAAAGTTGTTTTGTTAGATTTTTTTCTGAATTTTTAAATGTATGTACCTATTTTTGTAGATACATAACATTCTATACAATCTAACAAGCATTAACATTTTTTCTATGATATTTTCTTTTTAAAACTTAAAATTATGTTTGTTAAAATATTATTACATAGATTAGGGCCATCGCACAAAAGTTTAAAATGTATACCTAGATATACTTTATTTTTGACATAAATGGCCATGTCAATTATTTTTTAGTTAAAACAATTTWTTTTTTTTTATTTTTATTTTTTTTATTAAACGAAATATACCCTCGGCGACATAGGCCATTAGTTAGATTCAACTTTAAAATACTTTAAATAATATTCCTTTATAATATATAATAAT